TACATTTCCACGATTCTGCTGTGTTTTATACTTCTCTTATTTTCCCTTTCATAGTCTACATAAACCGTTTTCAATAAACTACGAGTACGCACCTGTGCTTCAGTCTGAATTCTCCGTCGCTCTTCGCGTTCGATGCGCAACAATCTTTCGAGCTCTTTGATTTCCTGCTCCAACTCCGAGGTTCCGACTGGCAACGACCCGTTTTCCGCGTAAGCAGCCGATTCGTCCTCGGAGTTTTCTGGGACGCCATTTTCGTCGGTCATTGCCGCCGTAAAATTAGCGATGAAATTCTTCAAAAGCTACTCTCACTGAGGTTATCGTCGAGAATATACGAAATAGAGATAGGGTGAAATATCGACACGAGCTAACGAACGAGACGAACGAGCGAACGAACGAAGGTGCGCGCGGTCAGTTAGTCAGTCAGCCAGTTGGGGCACCCGTCTGTCCATGCGTGTATCGCGGGGAAGAAGAGGTGCGCGGAACCCTACTAAGGTCAGGTATACGATATCGATCGAGAACTCAACAAACAGAGCGCGGATGAGTTGATTTGAGAATGTTCGGCCGATGGTGGATGTTGAATGGAGGCAGCCGGTGTTGACTCATGTGATCGAACCGTGAGAAGAGATTCGAAAAACTAAAAAAACACGTACAGGCAGTGAGGCGAGTGAACGATTTGGAAGTGCAAGGCGATTTGTATTCTGCGAGGAAGAAGTTTTGCAATACTAGATCTCTCAAAAAGCGCTTCGTTCTAGAGCAGAAACAGCAGGCATACTGTAACTAGCGTAAATAGGAAGACGGCTATCAGAGGCATGGCATTATCAATAGCTTTGACGCCACTTATGCTAATATTTGAAAGCGTTCATATCACTTATTATGCCAAGCTGATAGACGTATAATAATGCATGTAACAGCAGCACTTTATATACAAATCATTTCGAGCATTTATGGCCTTTCCGGGGAGTGCCGACTGTAATGATGAGAGTCATTGCTCAATCGTCAAATGGGTAACGAGTCGATTCCACTACTTTCCGGGTCAACTAGCCTTCCAGAATAGATCCAATAACATTTACATTCTTTTACGAGATGAAGCCGAATGCATGACGCATCTTCCATATTAAGGGATTGATCAACATTAGAGCCTCATCCTTTATTGTCTTCTCATTCGAAAATACGTAAAAGAACAAAAAGAGTTCTTAGAGAACATATAGCGCAATGTTCTCATGTGTCGCAAGTGCATCTTAAGCGATATCCTACGGTTGCATGTGAGACACGAACTTGTTGAGGTATAGGCTCATGATATAAATATGAAAATTAGTTTCACTGTTTAGTAGGAGTAATGGTGCGAAAAAAGAGCTTGAGCTAGTTGCAAGATCAGATGACATCTGTTAAGAGAATATTTTATATATATTCGATAAAATTCGCATTCGCTGTTACCAGCCTAACAACTCGGTAACAGTCCAAAAGTAGAGAATCAGAGGTGAGATGTATTTTACTGCCCATTTGTGCTGTCATTCTGCAACCAGTCTC